TAACGCATTGGCGTATCACAACGTTGATAAAGACTTTTGCTCTAGTACACACACATACACACACACACGTGTCAGTCGGCCATGTTTGGTCTTATGTAAAATATTCGAACGCATCCATATATAGACGGAGAAGTCGAGTACATGACTCCGACGTTATCACCTACATGCATGTATCTTAAACGTACGAATACGTGTATTGTACAATGTCTCTCTCTCTCTCTCTCTCTCTTTCTGTATGTGTGTGTGTGTACGGGTGCGCATATACGCGTACCTGTGTGTATATTTGTGTGTGCGTTTGTTCGCGCGTGTGTACACGACACAAAGCTATTACTCGCTTTACGAGGGGTTCCATTCGTGACGTTTACGACCGAACGAAACCTACCGAATGCGCCAGCACTGCCACCGGCTACGATTAATTCTCGCGTACCTTCGATCCAAAAGTTTCACGAAAAGTACGTCACGTTACGTTCGAGTTCGTTGCACGCGCCTTACCTTTCCTCGAATTTATAATGTAAGAAAATATATATATATATATATATGCATATAATCTTGGCATATAAGGGAAAAAAGAAAAAGAAAAAAAAGGAAGAAAAAAAAAATACATACAAATATATATAACGAACAAAGTTTATCGCAATTCATCTGTCCTAATGATTCGCGATTTCTTTCTTTTTTTTTTTTTTTTTTTTTTTTTTTGTATAATGAATATATGCAAAAAAAGAAAAAAAAAAAAAAGATAAAAGAATGGAAAAAATACACGAGATTTTATCACGTCTTAACCGTTATATACGTAATATCCGAATACCCGGCTGTCTATTTCAATATTTTCTACAATACAACAATCTCTTTTTCTTTTTTTTCTTTTCTTTTCTTTTTTTTTTTTTTTTTTTTTTTTTTTTTCATATGTTCCCGTGAAAAATATTATTAAAATTTATTTCGTAATCACTTCCTTTGAATACTTTTACGTTGATTTACCTTTTAAAACGTAAAATATTGTCTTAAGGTTGGCAAACAAGAGTGAACATATTTCAATTGTCAATATAAAGATTAATTTACGGTATATTTATGACTGATTGTGTCGAGGATTACGGGGAGAAATAAAATTTGAATTATTTTGATACTTTTTCATTTTGATTCAATTCAAAAGTCATAGAATTAACGTTAATCGAAAGTTCGATTAAATCGAGATTTAAAATTCGCGGAGGAAAAAAGAAAAAAAGAAAAGGAAAGAAAAGAAGGAAAAAGAAATTAAAAAAGATCAAAAGAACAATTTAATAAAGCGTTACTAAACCGTACTTTTCTTTCGGGTGAATAATTAATGGAGAAATAAAGAGGGACGTGAGAGTGGAGGAAAGAAGAGTGAAAAAAGAAAAAGAAAAAAAAAGAAATAAAATAAAATAAAATAAAATAAAATAAAATAAAATAAAATAAAATAAAATAAAATACGAATCGTCAAAATGCATGCACAAAACGCTTAGCACTTTATTGTCTCTCGATATACTACCCACGTAACCAGGATATAGATATAGACATACGTACATGTATCTACTTATTCACTTGATACACAGTATATACTGCATATTTGAAAAAGTGCATAAATATATGCAGATATATAAACTAGCAGTACGAGCAGGCACATGATTTGAACGTTCCAGTCGATAAGGTTTACGGAAGGCACATGGGCGAGATAAGAGAACGCACAGAGGGTGCATCGCGCGCTTTTGCTCGAGTTAGCCAACGCAACCTAGGCTTCCCGAGCTACGATAAGAGTAACAACGACGTTATCGTGTCCTCCTATGCGTTACACGCGTACAGAAGAGAAGGGGGAGAGGAGAATTGTCGTACGACAGAGACAACGTTATCGTCGATGAACAGAATCCATTTAGAGAGAGAGAGAGAGAGAGAGAGAGAGAGAGAGAGAGAGAGAGAGAGAGAGACAGAGAGAGACAGAGAGAGACAGAGAAGTCCCGAGAGAATTTCAAATCATTTTGTTATCGAACCGATTAATTATTCTAGAAGGAGAAGAAAGAGAGAGTAAGAGAAAGAAAGAGAGAGAGCCAATAACGTTCGTTCCAATTTCAAATTCTAAATACTAGTATTTAGAAGACCTTAAAAAGTAAACCGATCGCGTAAAAATCCCGTAAAAATTCTCGAAGGGATAATCGAAGTGTGACGCGCTAATATCTCGAAAGAGATGAACGCGTTGTCGTGGAAACGGCAAATACTCGAACGGCATGGTATGCCAGTACGAAGCCATATGATCGACGATGAGTACGGAGCTGTCGAAAGGGGGAGGAGACGGAATCCCACCCTCGACACTCGTACGTACATATCCCATCTCGATCGATATCAGACCGAGGGTAGCAGGTGCCTTTTCTATGCCGAGCCAGTTACTTTGTTGTTGTTGTTGTTTTTTTTTCTTTTCTTTTTGTTTTTCTTTCTTTTTTTTTTTTTTTTCATTTCGTTTTTATTTTTTTATATCTTCTTTTTTTCTTTTTTC